AAAAAAAAAAAAAAAAAAAGCTAAGATTCCATCCCTTCTTGCTGCAACATGATGTGTAGGGGGCCCCCTAAAAAGACAATGTTTACCCACCACTCCCATCTCATTCGGGAGGTGGCGTCTCAGGATCTGCTTGCCCTTATTGGCCACAGGATTTTAATCCTAAACTCTTGATTTAATCTTAAAACTAGAATTAAATCACAACATAAACTAACCACCAACATATTTGGCCTGATGAGAGAGGAAAGGAACAATACTTACAAAGGAATCTTCACCACAAGCCAGATTGGCTGTTACCTTGATCTTGCACTTTGCAGCCTCCAGGACTGGGTGAAACAAATCCTCATTGTTTAAGCCCCTTATGCCATAGTATTCTGTGACAGCAGCCCAAACTGTCCAAGACAAGAAAGAACATGTCAAATCCAGCTTTTGGAGAACTAAATTTCAGACTTTGACATTCTTTTTTCAAAACAAAGCATTTTGTTCATTTGTTTCTCCAACAAATATTTATGCAATATCTTTTTTTTTTGTTTTTTTGTTTTTGAGACATGTTCTGACTTTGTAAACCAGGCTGGCCTTGAACTCCCAGCAATCCTCCTGCCTCTGTCTCCTAAGTGCTGGGATTACACCACCACACCTGACCTTATTTGATACCTTCTATGTGTCAGGTCCCACCTTGAATGCTGAAGATACTACAGTGAGAGTTTAGAAGTGGTAAAACACTTTGAGAGTTTACAAGTGGTAAAACATAGGCTGCAGTTGGGCTCAAGAATAAGAAAATCATTTCTATGGACAAGGTACAGCGAGGGTACACAATGTTGGCATAAAGGCAACCCCAAGGCCTTTTGGAACCAAAGGACTAAACCTGGTATTCGCAGCCAGTAATTCCGTTCCTTAGATAAAAGGGTCTTGCTCTCTGCAAGACTATAATCCCAAGCTAAATTTGAGGTTTGAAGGCCTTCTCCTGTAAAACAATCTGAAGGGTTAGGGATGTAGCTCAGGGACTGAGCATGTACCTAGCATACAGGAGACTCTGGGCTCAGTCCCCAGCACCACGAATTGAATGAATGAATGAATGAAAATTTTTAAAAAGCAGCTTCCAACCTATTCTAGAAGTGCTGATTTCACAAGAAATTGTGGACCTGGGCAGATGAGTGAAGAATGGAGAATCTGAATCAGGTCATACCCAAAATTCCCTAATATGATGGCACAGCAAGAGCCACAAAATGCTGTAAGAATATCTGGTTCTAGGCTTGGCAGGAAGGAAGGTGGTTATGACTTATAAAACCACTAGACAGTGGGAAGATTGAAAACTCATCCATAAAACTACATAAAGCAGGGAGATCAGGAGTTCAAGCCCAGCCTGGGCAACTTTGTGACTTAGTAAGATCCTGTCTCAAAAAATAAAAAAATCTGGTGATAAACTCAGTGGAAGACCCTGTGTTCAATCTCCAGCACAAGGGGGAGAACTCTGTATCAGTTCCTGACAAGAAGCAAAATTGAGGCTATTGAAATTAAGTATAATCAGAATCTTTAAAATGCACATAAACCAGGTGTAGTGGTGCATGCCTATAATCCCAGTACTCTGGGACACTGAGGCAAGAGGATGGCAAATTCAAGCTCAGCCTGGGCAACTCAGGAACTTAGTAAAACCCTCTCTCTCAAAAAAAAAAAAAATTTAAGGCCGGGAATACAGTTCAGTGGAAAGGCTCTCAGTTCAATCCCACACAAAAATAATAAAACAAAGTCTACCTAAATACTTTGCCCACATAGAAGAAAAGCTGCAGTCCTATATTTTAAGGGAGTTTATGTTTTGTTTGTCATTTTTGGATTTTTTTCTTATTCCCAAAGCATTCACTAATGGTATAATGGAGATACAAAACTCAGCAGCCTGCCAGGCAACAAGAAATTTCTAACAGTCATTGCCTTTATAAGTCTACTGAGCAGTCTGGGTGTCACCTCCCAGCCCTGGGGAGGACAGTGGGGCCTGCATGAAATAAAGACAGCTCTCCTCTTCCATGGGAACACCTGTAAGAAGCAAGACAAAAGTCACAAAATTTCAAGCATCCTTGTATATCGATACGACAACTTTAAAACAAAAACTAAACAAAGGGTGTTATGAATCATAAATCATTTATACATAACTTTGTTGCAAGTAAAAAAAAGAGACTTTTCTAACAATATCTTCCAAATTAAGATAGGAGCAGAAAATACCAAGTCGCTCTGGGTAACTTTCATCTCACCTGTCGTTAATTAGCATCGATTTTATTCTTTTATAAAAAGGATGGAGGAGGGATGGTAAATATCTATACAGATTAACAAGCGGCCTGGGAACATCGCTGAACAGTCCTGAAGCGCATCTGCTCTGACACCAGCTTTTTGAGATTTGGATATTGATTCTGCCAGGTAAGAGTATGAAATCTTCTAACGGTAACTTTGCTTCTCCGTGCCTCAGTTTCCCAGTGCACTCACTATACGGGCATTCACATATTACGTTTTATGGAGGGGGTGTCTACACAAACAAAACTGAGCAGTAAAACAATTCTTTAATAAGAATGTATTTTATTTGTTTTGTATCAAGAAAAAATACAAAACAAACTCATTTTTTATTGTGGCAACCTAATGGAACTGCTGTAAGAACTCCCTCTCACCTACAGAGTGGACTTGGAAATTCTTTTTCACGAAGCTGGGACCAAGGATTGTTTTAAATCGAAAACTCCTCACTCAGGAAGATGCAAACACCCTATGTTGCATCTGGTTGCAACAGTGCCTCTGAAGCCGGCTGCCCGATTGGTGGAGCATCCACAGCCTTCGTCCCACTCGCGATGGGTCTCAGACGATCGGTCCAAAGTGAGCGGAGGGACCAGGCGCTGACAACACCCTGTCTTCCCTTCCCGCAAAGAGCGGGTACAAAAAAATCTACCGCCAGCAACCACCCTGCTGCCCCCACCTCCAGGAGGACTTAATTAAAGTTCAGAGCCCAATGGGAACTCGAGGGGCGGGGCCAGATATTGCCACGCCCATCGGACCTGGGGCTGCGCCCCGGCCTCCGCGCATCTCACTGCGCCTGCGTCCCACGACGGCGTGAGGCACGCTGGGAGCCTGGGCTTTTAATTGCGGTGTTACTGGGAGCTTGTTTTGTTTTATTTTTGTTTGGTATTTCTGGTTTTGTTTTTGGTACGGGGTGTTGAACCCAGAGCCTTCTCTCTGAACAACACAGCCAGGCCTTATTTTTTATTTTGAGATAGGGTGTCGCTAAATTTCCCAGACAGGACTCAAACTTACAACCTTCCTGCCTCAGCCTCCCCAAAGTGTTGGGAATTACAGGCCTGTGTCATCATGCCTGGCTCCGGATGTCGTTTTTGCACCCTCACCTGTTCATTCCTCTGAATTTCCCAGCCTTACGGCCCCTCAGGACTGTCCTGTGCCTCTGTGTGCCTTCGTCGGATGCCAGCAGACCTCCGGGTCTCCCTTCACCTCCTTATTCTGTAGGGCGACGCCTCTGCTGTGCACAGGGCGCTATGCCTGCTACTAGTAGTGTGTCATTTAATCTCCTCTGCAGTTGAGACTGTGAAACAGAAGTTGCTTAAGGTCTCAGATACAAAATGCACTGTAGGTTGTAGTTGATTGCATGCTGTCTGTCACCATTCCACCTTACATGTCGCACCTAGCCAAGTGCCATGTGCTTTAACTAAAATATTCTCTCTCCCTTAAGCCTGGGCAGTATTATCACTACAGCGGAGCTTTCTACAAGACTTACCCAACCATACCAGTCCAACTTTGGGCTGTTTCCACCTCCATATATGGCTTCGGTGTTCTCTCACTTTTAAACAGCTTTATTGAGGAGTTGACTTTTTTAAAAGGCCCGCATATATTTAAAACATGCAAAATTTTTTATACATCTGTATGCATGCACCCCTGAAATCACCACGACCTAACGTATCACTCCAAAAAGTTTCCTTCTGCCCATTTGCAATCCATCTTCACAGTCACAACTTTCCGTACCTGTTTCTCAGATAACTGTGGATCTGCTTTTGGTCACTGTAAGTTAGTTTTCACTTTATAGACTTATGTACAGCTAAAATCATATGCTATGGGGATCTTTATGGGTGGGTAGGAGGCAGTCAGACTTAATTATTTTGACATTCATCCTTACCGTGTATGAGTAGCTCATGTATTCCTTCTTATTACTGAGCAGTATTCTGTGAAATGATGCACCATTGCTTATCCATTCACGCATTGCTGGACTTTGAGGTTATTTCAATTTCTGGCTGCTACAAAGCTTAGACCAACATGGCATACAAATCTCTGTATGGACAAAGATTTTTGTTTGGATTAATACCTAGGCATGAACTGGCTCTGTCATGATTACATTCACCTGTAATATCAGCACTTGGGAGGCTGAGGCAGGAGGATTGTCATGAGTTCAAGGCTAGCCTGGGCTACATAGTTCATGGCCAGCCTAGACTACATAGTGAGATATCATGTGATAGGAATTGTTTAACTTTTTGGTAAGGAATTACCAAACTATTTTTCAAAATTTCTGTCCTATTTCACATTCCCACCAGCAATGAATGAGTTCTAAATCTTTCATGACCAAATTCTCCATGTTAGACCTCCTCAGAGGTTTACAGTAGAATTGCTGTAGCAAACTGAATCCAGGAAAGGAACACCCAGGGAGGGAGGAGGCAGTGTACAATTCTTTTATCATGTCGATGGACCTGACTGGGTTGGCACACAAAGAAATCAGGTCCAGAATATCGGTGGGCCGGCAGTTTTGTAGGGCTGCAAGCAGTAGGTACAGAAGCAGAGGCAGACTACTTGGCAGTCTTTGGCTGGTTAATTATTTGACATTTTTTACAACCATGAAGCTTAATTTCGTTGGCATTTCCCCTGGGAATACAGCAAGTAGCGTTTATACAACGGGGGGGCAAAGAGTTCAAGCAGGATTTTCTAGTTCCTTACAGAAGTTGTCATGGCTACTCACGTACCTTCTGCAAAGAGCGTAGTTACCTAGTTAACCCATAGTTGCTTCATAACACAGTTAACTCCTAGTTGTCCAATTAAGTTATTTTTATTAGACATGTATTTGTCTACCTAGAAATCCCCTTTCAGAATCTCATGGGTTTAATTTGCATTTATCCAGTGATGAATGACGTTGAGCGTCCTTCCATGAGCTTGTTTGTCACCTGTATATCTTTTTTTGGAGACTGTGAATTAAAATCTCTTTCCCATTTTAAAATCTACGTTCTCAGTTCTCTTACTATTCAGTTTTGAAGTCGTTTTCATAATCAGGGCATCTTTTCAGATATGTAATTCATGATTGTTTGGCTTTGTCCTTTTTTTTTTTTTAATTTTTTCCAGTACTGGAGATTGAACCCAGAGCCTTCAAACTGAACCACATTCCCTTTCTGTTTTGATTTTGGGACTGGGTCTCACTAAATTACTAAGTTGCCCAGGCTGGCCTCCAATTTACGTGTTCTCCTGCCTCAGTCTCTCAGGGTTGGGTTCTCAACGTCAGTCATCAAGGAACTGCAACCAAAAGCCACGGTGGAGAGACCACCACAGGCCAACACCCCCAGCTTCCCTCCACCATGGCACAGCCACTTAGGAGATGACAAGTGTCTGCCACAGCTGGCCCCGTTCACACCACACACCTGTCGCTGCCATTTCTGAGCATGTGCCCAACACAAATGCGTGGCTCCTTCCCCCGGAAGACATGGAACCAAAATGCTCCTAGCAGCCAAAACCTGGAAGCAACCCAGATGATATGCACAGGTAGAAGTTCAATGAGCCAGAAGATTTAGATCATATATATTGATAGAAAACTGAAGTGCCTGTTTCTGAATATAATTATTCAGTTCTGCTCATCTGTATTACTCAGTTCTACTCACTTTTTTCTGAGTCAAAGTCACACATTTTTGATCACTATAACTTTACAATAGGTTTAATATCTAGAAAATAAGTTTGCCCTCTTTCAAAATTTTCATGCACACGTTTGCAGATGAATTTAGAATAAAATCTTCAAATTCCTTTGAAATCTTTCACTGGGATTTTTACTGAAATTGTGTGATTTTTTGTTTGTTTGTTTTGGTGTTTTTTTGTTTGGTTGGTTTTTTGTTTTTTGTTTTTGTTTTTGTTTTTGTTTTTGTTTTTGAGACTCACTATGTAGTTGAGACTGACCTGGAACTCACTATGTAGCCCAGGATGATCTCAAACTCACAGTGATCCTCCTGCCTCAGCCTCCCAAGTGCTAGGATTCCAGGCTTGCGCCACCTTGCCTGGCTGTGTGATATTTTTAGATCATTACTGAGCACTGACATCTCCACAGTATTGACTCTTCTTTGAACTCACTATGTAGCCCAAGTTGTTCTTGAAGTCATGGTGATCCTCTTGCCTCAGTCTCCCAAATGTTGAGATTTCAGGTGTGTGCCACCACATCCAGCTCTTCTTACCTCATTAACACAGTTTAAGTGCCAAGCACGGTGGTGCACACCTGTAGTCCCAGCGCTCAGAAGTCTGAAGCAGGAGAATCACTGCGAGTTCAAGGCCAGCCTGGGCTACATAGTAAGTTCAGGATAAGCCTGAACTACATAACAAGACCCTGTCTCAAAATAACAAAAAAAAAAACCCAAGATAATAATAATAATAATAATAATTATTATTATTATTATTATTACCATGGTTGATTTAGGAATTTCAAATCAAGTTTTTAGGTGTTCATCGTGTAGGGCTTAAAGTTTTTTGCTATATTGTGTACATTAAGTATGTTATGATTTCCTTTGCTATTATGAAAGATATAATCATCCAATTACATTCTCTAATTATTGCTGCATATAAAAGGCCTTTTAAAAAAACACTTGGCCACTTGGTATTTTGAGACAGGGTCTCACTGTGTAGTTGAGACTGACCTGGAACTCACTGTGTAGCTCAGTCTGGTCTCGAACTCACAGCGATCCTCCTGCCTCAGCCTCCCAAGTGCTGGGATTCCAGGCCTGCGCCACCACGCCCGGCTGTGTAATTGGTTTTCATTTGACTCTTTTAACTTCTAGGTGTCTGTGTAAAATATCAAAACCTTTGATAGTTCGTGAGGGTCTGGCTTTTATTTTTCTACATTTTGCTGGAAGCAGATAGATGGTGTGTGTCAGCTATGTCACTAGATACCACTGCTTACAATGAAAGTGACCCCAAGTCGGGACATTTACCTGGGCTGGGAGTCCCCATAGCTTCTAACTGATTAGTCCCTTGTGCGGAACCGGAAGTGATGTCTCGCACAGCTGTTCCGGAAGCTACTGTCTGCCAGGGGCCATGAAGCTTTTAAACCAGACCGATTTACACAGCCTTCTCGGTGCAGATATCTCTCTGCCTCTGCGCTGTCTGCTGAGCGACGCTTGCCACTACCAGGAATACTTGACTCTGCTTTGCTGGCCCTCGTGTGGTTCCCGTCCTACACCCTTCTCTGAAACAGGCAAGTGAGGTCGAACTTCAGTGAAATGCAAGAAGACAGCCGTGGGCAGGGAAAGGTGGTAGCAGCAGTAGGCTCAGCTTCCAGACCCTCGATGCAATTTGGCCAATGCACTAGGAGGTAAAAGGGGTAGGGGAAATGCTGACCAGGCGCTGAAAGCCCTGAAGGTCACAGGGGAGTCCATCTACCCATCATGTAACATGGAAGACGCTGCGGCGCCGGGTGGAGTAAATCATCGCTGTTGGGGAGGCAGGTGAGAGTTGGTGTGAAGCCAAATTCGTACTGAGATACGCGCTGCCGTAGAAGAGACCTGGCCAGGAGTCCCGCTGCAGGTGGGCCGCAGGGACAGATCAATGCCTGGCGGAGGTGGGTGTTGGAGGAGGGTGGTAAGGAGAATAACCCCACAGTCCCCATGATTGTGACAGGACGAGCACCTAAAGGGCAGGTGGACTGCCACACTGGGCCCAGCTCCATTCAAGAGAAATGAGAGCAGAGGGCAAAGGCAGACAGCAAGGGCTACGACAACAATAGGTTCATAGGATTTGTGATCACTGGTAAAAGCTTAAAGAAAGTTCTCCATGTGGAAAGGTGAACCTAAGCACCATCGCCCAGTCTGACAAAAGCTAAGGGGCTGAGTGGCCAGTGACTCGGACCAGTGTCCTCTGCTGCCATCTGTTGACAATCAACAGGAATGCAGGCATGTATGCAGCAATTTTCTAAAGTATGAAGATTAGCTGGGGGAGGCTAGGGATAGAACTGGGGCGCTTTACTACTGAATTACACCCCAGCTCCTTTTATTTTTTTATTTTGAAACAACGTCTCACTAAGTTGCCAAAACTGGCCTCAAACTTAGGATCTTCCTGCTTCAGCAAGCCAAGTAAATGGATTTACAGGTGTGTACCGCTGGGCTCAGCTGACAGACAAGAATTCTTTTAAGTGCCAGTCATTGGCTACTTTAAAGGTATAAACCTTCCCTTAAGGTTATTAAAAGTCTTCATATGTATATAAGAGGAACTACACTTCTATATAAATATTAGCTTTTCACTGTAGTAAGTGGGTTGGGTTAAAAAAATGAATCCAAGATCCACTATCTGATGTAAAATGTCGAGAATTCCCAGACTAAAGGGGCTTTAGTATAAAAACTGATGACAAAAGACGATTCCTGTTGCAGAGGGTAAGGAGGGGACAGCCACTTTCATAAACAAACCCTGGTGATCACCAAACTGTACTAACTTGTCCCGTTCTCCTAAAGGTGTTAGCCAAAGTCATGGGGCGAAACGTGAACAAAATGCTGCGTGTGACCCTCTAACCCCGGGGCTCTTTCCCCCAAAGTTTGTGCTGCTAGGCAAATTTGCTCACAGTAAAAATGACCGCAGATAAAGTCTGTCTGGACTGACTCTGTAACCACCTGGTGAGGTAATTACTGTACATGTGCTAATTAGACCTCGGGTCGTTTATGGGGGTTTCAGGGGACCAAACCCAGGGCCTGGTGCGCTATCACTTAGCCACACCCCCTGCCCATAGCTCAGTGTGGACGTCCTGAGGGTGGAGCTCTGGTCCCAGGACAGGTCCCTCTCAGAACCCTGGAAATCTACGTCTGCGCAACTGTGGGAGTCTCCTGTGGGGCCTGGGGCTCCACATCACAGCAGTTCTGGTAAAGGCCCGATGGAGACCCCACCGGCCTGTGGCAAGGACTCTCACTCCCAGGAACAGCTGAAGAAAGCGGCCGGCAGACAGCTGCGGCATCTGACCTAAATATTCTGAACCGGGCCTCTGACCATCTTGGGAGTTTAAATGCCCACAAAGGCAGCTGGCAGTCGCTGTAGAAGTCACATCAGCTGCCAAACGTGACTTCCCCCCACCTTCCCTTTCCGTAACTATGCACACTTTTCTTTTTTTTTTTTTTTTTAATTTGCTGTGCTGGATTGACCCTAGGGCCTCACCCATGCCAGGCAAATCCTCTATCACTGAGCCACATTTTATTTTTGTCCTCCACATTTTTTTCACTTTTTATTATAAAATAAATTCAAATGTATAGAAGAGTTACAAAAAGAACCTAAAGAACACCTATAGAGTTTACAAGTGATTCACCAGTTGTTACCATTTTGCCACATTTGCTTTTTTTTTTTTTTTTTTTTTTTTTTT